GTGAGAGAGAGAGAGAGAGAGAGAGAGAGAGAGAGAGAGAGAGAGAGAGAAAGTTTTCCTCTTCAGCTTAGAAAAAAGGCTCAGATTTACAAAAGCATCAGACGTTTTTAGGGAATGTTTTGCGGTCCAAAAAAGCTTCCAAAATTTTTAGGGATTTACAGCATCGGCTGCAGCTCAATGGTAATCGCCTCCTCCTCCTCAACCGGAAATTGACCACCACCACCTGACATTATCAGGTGATCCTCCCCAAAAGGAGGCGGCGTCGTCGGCACCGACTGATAACCGTGGTGGTGATAAGAATTCGCTCCGAGCTGTTTGTTGTTGTTATCAAGCAGACCGTCGTAAATCGAAGAAAAGGTGTCATTGATACTAGGAGGTCCTCTCTTACCTCCTCCTCTTTCAATCTCACCCAAATGAATTACTGCCTTTGGAGAAGAAGATGAAGGAAGGGAAAGGTCGCTGCTGTTGTTCGCTGTGGGCGTTCCGTTCTCGGTTATGGTCTTTGTCTCCTCGATTTCAGAGGAATTTAAAGGAGTGGCCAGGGTTGTGGAGGCTTTTCGGTTGTTAGCTTCAGGATTCACCCCACCACCACTTCCGCTACTGAAGATGACGTAGCTAGAGGTGGTGGTAAAGCTGACAACGCTGTCGCCTCGGCTTCTTCCACTTCCGTTTCCACCCATTTCCCGAGGCGATCGAGGACAGTAGTAGGCCTTGGCGTTCAGCGAGTCAGAGGCGTTGCTGAAGCGAGGTCCTCCCGCCCCTCCAAGTGATCCCTTCTTCGGCGTCCCGCCACTTCCGCTTCCGTTTGTGCCGATAGAGCAACTTTTGGCTGCCCGCTTATGATCGTTGTTAGAAGAAAGAGTTCCATTTCCGGTAGAGGAGGCAGGGGCAAAGGTAAAGTGATTGCTTCCGCTGCTGCCACTGCGAGCCCCCCGGTTACGTCCATTATGAGTGGCGCCTCCTCCCATAGCGGAGTCGGCGCTGAGGAGCTTTCCAAAGTGGTAGTGCTTCCGGCGGCTGTTCCCCCCTCCGCTCATAGCCATCGCTCCGCCCCCGTTTGCGCCATTTGTTCCAGTGGTTGTGGTAGTGGTAGAGGCGGAGCTGGAGGCGGAGTGACAGCGGTGCGGTCGCCAGTAGGCGTGATTGGTCGGCGTCGGGTAGTCGCCGCCCACCTTGAGGGCGCGCGTCACGCGGTACCGTGAGAGGTGGTGGCGGACGCTGTGGCGGACCTCGCCGTTGCAGAAGCAGTAGAGGACGGCGACGGTGAAGCCCTAAAAAAGAGGTTTTTTAAAAAAGGGGTTAAAATTAAAAAGAAAAAATTGCTAAAAAGGCTCAAAGTTTTGCTTACCTGAGTCGACGTGAGCACCGCCTGTGAGATCTTGAAGACAAAGCGCCAGGTGTTCTGAGTGGGCGTGACCAGCAGGAGAACGTAGCCCAAACCGAGAAGTGGAATTAGGACAAGCAGGGCTTTTGCCGCCTTTCGGTACTGCTTCGACTCGGCCGTCGAGGCGAGCTGATTCTGCTGGGCACTGCGCAGCTTGATGATGAGCAGCCACATGATCTTGGCGAGGAAGAAGATGTTTACCTGATAAGAGGGAAAGTGGTGTTGATAAGGAAAGGTATAAAAGAGGTTTTTTATAAAAAAAGCTTACAAAGAGGACAATGAGTACGGGAACTTTGTAGAAGTAGTCGAATTCGTCGGCGGTCATGTAAGGACATCGTAAACGGATTTGCTCCAGTGGACTGCTCATCAGAGGTGTCTTTGGTAGCGCTGAAGTGGTGGAGTTTGAAAGTCTAGGATAAAAATGAGTTTCAGTACAAAGTTTTCAGTACAAAAAAGTACTCAAAGAAACTGCTTACTCGGCGAGCATTGCATTCGTCCGCGTAAAGTTCCGCTTCACCACCACCCAGATGAGAATGACCACGGCGGGCAGGCCTGAGAGAAAAAGAGTTTAAAAAAGTTGAGAAAAGTTTAGAAGGAATTTGTACTTAAATAACTTTTTGTTGCTTACCCCAGCCAATGAGAAAGTAGTAGGCGGTGCGAATCATGTCAATGGAGAAGGTCTTGACCACGAGAAGATAAAGGTAGAGGCCCTCGACGAACATCCAAAAGAAGTTGGTGGCGAGGAGGTAGCGAAAGCCGA